TTTCTCTCTCTCTCTCTCAGTTTGACCTATTTGCAAAAAATGGAAATCTATAATCAAATATTTAATTAGATCATGACAGAGGTACCTGTAAAGATTAAGGGATGTTTGTACAGTATATTCAAGATGCAAAGTATATATTGAGTAATTTCCAAACTTTTGGCTTATTTTGCAGACAACTTGTGATACAGAAGGAATGAATGCAAGGAAATTCTTAGAAAAAGTGAAATATTTCCTTCTTTCCCTCCAGATGGAACAGCAGAGTTAACACAAAGTTTACATTTCTTCTAGTGTTATAATTCCCCACTTCCAGATTTCAAAGTGCCAAGAATATAATTTGTGTTTCCGAACGGCAGTTTAAATTCTGTACAAACAGAGGTTCCGGTTATGTGTACAATTGTTAGCTCTAAATCATTTGTTTTATCTCCTGTAATGTGTCAGACTAATCCTTGGTGTAACTCTGGTTTTAGCAGTTACACCAAGGATGAATTTAGTGACATACAAGCAAAGGAAATATATTTATATTCCACACCAGTTATTGTAGCCACTGTATGACTTCACATTTCATGAACTGTGTTACAAAATTCAAATGAAATTATATAATAATGATATGTCGTATGACTATATTTCCTTTGCCTTTTAATCCTGTGAAGATTAGTTATGTGGGGATATAGGTCCACAAGGGACTGAATATACTCAGGGGTTATGTAATGGAATACCCACAGATTCAAGTGTACGGTCAAAGCTGTGCTAGATACATTTGCTGGTTTTGCAGTATTTGGTGGGGATGTACTGTTCTTTTTTTTTACTTTTTTTGGAACTTATTTATACTGACAATACCTTTGTTATAACTCTATACTGGGAATAGCCTGTTATGCCGAAAGTGCTTTTGCTGGTGTAATTTATTGTGCTCAGGGAACTGGTTTTGGCTACACCAGCAACAGCACCTTTTCCAATATAAGATAGTGGGAGAGTCTGCCGTATAACTATACTGTCAAAAGTCATCTATAATAGGCCTGACCTTAACAACCGTTTTGAAATCCACCAAGGATAACTATCAGAAGTAATTTCAACCTAATATTTCAACTATGTGTTTTCTCTGAAAGGAACTCATTATTCACTGGTTATCAGCAAGGGATGCAAGTGGTAGTAGTGACATACTGCTGATACAGGCATTACTTATCCAGGTTCAGTGCCTATTGAAGAAGACCTGGCTACACAAAGGGTACAGGCAGAAGTGACCATTTTTGCCTGATCTGGCCACAGAAAGCTGTCTACAGCCATGTCTAAACACAAGTACATGGCTGTAGACTGCTTCAAAATGTCCAGTCGCATGAGAAGCTGAACTCTCATTGCATGAGGGTTAAGATTAAGATGTTTCAAAATAGAGTGCCTTCTGTAACTTGTGTGTGACGGGCTGGCTGGCAGTGACCTGGCCCAGGGGTTTTGAAAGGGCAAAAGATGACTGGAGGACTTGGGATTCCCTTTCCTCACCAATCTGGTAATGATTTGGCCCAGGGGTTTTGAAGGGGTAAAAGATGATTGGAGGACTTGGGATTCCTTTTCTGCACCAATCAGGCCCCAGAGACTCACCCCCCGTGTCCCCTGCTTGGCCCCTTGTGTCACCTGGAGGGGGATAAAAGGCGTAGCATGGACTGGCGCAGGAGAGCCCAGTGAAGGACAAGGAAGGAGCTTCACAGAGCTGGCAAGAGCTGAGCCAGCAGGGCAGGAGCAGTGCCCCAGAAGAGCCTGAAAGAGCAGGACCGGCAGGCAGCAGTGACACCCTCAGCAGAACGGTATGTGGCTGGCAGGAGAGGCTCCCCACTGGGCTCCAGGATCCCTTGGGAGAGGCTGCAGCCAGTGGGAGAGGCTCCCCTCTGCTCCAGCAAGGATCTGAGCAGCAACCTGAGAGGCTCCCAGCTCTGCTTCCAGCTCCTCCAATCAGAGGCCAGGCAGCTCAATGTGAGGCTGGGGCTCTGGGAAGGTCAAGACCCCTAGCAGCCTGGAGCAGCGCCACCAGTGGTGGCTGTGAGGTAGTGTTCCTGCCTACCCCTGTGGAGATCTGGATTCAAGTCCCAGCTGAGGTGACTTGGGATAAGTGAGCTAACAAGAAGCAAATCTTCTTGCAGTGGAAAGGGGCCATTGTGTTTTCTCCCCTTTCTCCCCCCTTCAGGTACCAAGGCCCTATATTTCCTTGTCATTTTGCATTTTGTGCCTTTATTATAGTTCACCAACCTGTATTGTTTGTTCTGCTGTTTATGTTTTATATTTTGTTAACCCTGTTTTTTTGTCAATGATTGTAAGTGTCTAACCTTTGTTGGATCCTGCTCCCTTGGGGCATTGTAGTGTCCACTATACCCTCTGACTTATACCTGGTATGTTCCCAGTATTAAAAGATATATGGCTAATTCGCCATTGGTGGTCTGGCTCTGCTCTATAGGGGGAGGAGAGTCCCTACACCCCCCACAGTGCTTGTGTACCTGCTTTGATCCCTTCAACTGGAGAGTGGGTTCCTCTTGGAGTACCGCCCAGGTTGCATGTGTCTGTGCTGCCTCCCAGCCTGTCACTGTTTTCAGACTGGGTGGGG